CCTGCACCATCAGAATTCTTGGGATGTTTGAGCCCATCGTTGTAGCTACCGTGTCAATCCACCCTAGAGAGGGTTTGCCTCATTTTCTCTGACCATCTACTGTGTTGGTCCAGGCAGACTAGAGAAACATTCAGGGACACACCGATGTGTAAGAGCTTTAGATCAAGCTTTCTCTTTAAGTGTTAAACTTAACGTGGTCTTTTGCAGTAGATCTGCCCAATGCAACACATTGTGTGATTTCTTGACTCGGTAAATGTTTGAAATAAAATAAAGGACTTCTTCAGATTATAGTTAGTAAGAGTAAAGATGCTAGAAATGGCGCCGGTTAAAGTCAACTAGTGATGCTTGGCTTTTGAGAGTAGCCAAGTTGTCTACTCATGTTGTAGCAAGAACTTTCTATGTGGTCCATTCGCTCATTTACCATTCAGTGTGTGTCTTTAGACACCTAGTGTGTGCCAAGTACAATGTCACACTGGGAGTGCAGTGGCTGCGTCGGCACACAGTAGGTAGGCAGAAGCAAGACTGGCTGGCTTTTCCTCTGAAATATTGTTGCAGGAGCCCTGGCAGCACAGTGGGTAATGAGTTTGACTGCTAACTGCAAAGCCGGTGGTTCAAACCCACCAACCACACTCTGTGGGAGAAAAATGAAGCTTTCTGCTCCCATAAAGATTTACAGCCCTGGAGATTTACCCCTGGAGGCAATTGTACTCTTGAATGAGATACTGTTATTGTTTTACTCCGGCAAATCTGCTCCAACTGGGAGCTACCCTGGAAGAGGAGGTGGACCTGCCCAGAGGGATTCCTCAACTAGAATCTATGGGAGAAGATCCCCAGGTCTTTTCTCCCGGGGAATGCCGGTGGTTTTGAGCTTCAGTTAGCTGCCAAGCCGAGCCATGCTGCCACCAGGGGGCCCTTCCTCTTAGTTGAGTGGTTCTCAACCTTCCTCAGGCCGCCACCCTTTCATACAGTTCCTCATGTGGTGGTGACCCCAACCACAAAATTATTTTCGTTGCTATTTCATAACTGTAATTTTGCTGCTGTTATGAATCATACTGTAAATATCTGATACGCAAGATGTATTTTCATTGTTACAAATTGAACATAATTAAACATAATTAAAGCATAGTAATTAATGACAAAACAATATGTAATTAAGTATTGTGAAACATGTATGTTTTCCAATGGTCTTAGGCAAGCCCTGTGAAAGGTTTGTTCGACCCCCAAAGGGGTCGTGCCCCACAGGTTGAGAACCACTGTCTTAGATACTAAGCTACTTCCTTCAATTTAACGGAAGACTTTGTTGTGTTGGGGCCAACATGACAGCACCTAACAAGGGCGATTCCCAAAGAATGAAACCTTGTCTCTGTCTGGAAAGGAGTCTACACTTTTTACCCCAACTCTGGAGGCAAGGACCAGGCAGAGCTGCCCCGCAGGGTTCCTGAAGCTGAATCATCCCAGAAGCAGGCTGCCGTCTGCTTCTCCCTCAGAGCAGCTGGTGGGTTCGAACCACGTCTCACTAGCCAGCGCTGACCTCTGAGCCACCAGAGAATATGCAGAACGCAGCAGAGGTTAAAGTCATGACCACAGTCCAGTGTGGGGGTTCACAAAGGATCCATGTGCTTCGTTGTATGTGCGTGATGTTTCAGTCTGAAAAAGAACCCGGGAAGGACACTGAGCAAAGCGCCCGCAGCTCTGGCCCCGCTCTCAGAAGTCTGCGGTGCGTGAGGGCAGCAAGCCCAGAGCCTCAGTACTGTTCAAGGAAACGCGCTGGAAGCCGCCTCCAGGGAGGATCAACTGGAAATGCAGAGTCAGTCTGAGAAAGAGTTTTATGGCAGGAAAGAAATGAAAATACTTGGGACGAACAACAGAAACCGTGGGGAAGGGAGACAGTGGTCGGTGTCAGATATGAAAATAATTATAGTTTGTCAAGGGGGCGGGGAGGGAAGGGCAAAAGAGAAGCTGGTACCAAGAGCTCAGCTAGAAAGCCAGTGTTTAGAAAATGATGATGGCAACATATGTACAAATACGCTTGATACAATTGATGCATGGATTGCTATAAAAGGTGGAAGATCTCCCAATAAAATGATCTTTTAAAAAAATTAAATTACTTGGAAACTAGCTAAGCCATTTTTTTTAATTAATAAATCATTTTATTGGGGGGGTCTTACATGTAACAATCCATACATCCATTCTATCAAGCGGACATGTACAAATGTTGGCATCAACAATTTCAAAACATTATCTTTCTTCTTGAGCCCTTTGACATCAGCTCCTCTTTAGTCTCTCCCTCCCCCACCCTACCACCCGGCAAACCCTTTATACATTATGCATTGTTCTGCGTATTTGTACGTCTTACACCGCCCATCTGTCCCTTCACTTACTGGCCTATGTTCGTCCCCTGGAGGGGGTTCTTCCCCCGTCATTGCTCTGTTCCCCGTCCCCTTCCCCTCCCTCCTGGAATCGCTGCTCCCAGTGTTTCTGAAGGAGTTTGTCTATCCTGAAGGCTAAGCTGTCTTTGTGTAAATCCCAGAGCCTCCACCTCAGCTGGAGCATGAAACCCAGGTCCTCCTCATCCTTGAGGACGTTCGTGAGCCTAGTCTATCAGCCCTTTCCCACCTATAAAGTCTGTATACTCTCTGAGTACCAAATGATGCATGTTAGGGCCTTGATGTTGCGGGCATGTAATAAATCCCCGACCCGCGTAGAAAAGATGCAAAAGCCGTGGTTCTAGGTACGCAGGAGAAGGAGGATTACCGAGGTTCCCACGGTGGGAGATGGGGCCATCCTGGAACCAGGCATAGCAGTTACCGGCAGGCATGCTGCTTTAGAGCTCGGTGAGCATTCTCTCAGTTTGTCTCCAAGCCAAACCTGGCCCTCAAGTCAACTTGAACTCATAACCACCTCGTGGGACAAAGGTTTCCAAGATGGCAATCTTTTCAGAAGCCAACTGCCACGTCTCTTCCTCAAGGCAGCGGGTAAGTCTGGCCTGCTGGGCCTGCAGTTAGCTCCTGAGCACCTCAGCCCTGCACCGCTAGGGCTTCTCTGAGGGACATGACGTCCATCTGGCTATTTTTAACAGTTTCTTGTGGCGGAGGTGAGCGCTTACAGGGCAAATGAGTTTCCCGTTCAACTGTGTATGTGCAGATGGTTGTGGGACCTCCCACACTTCCATCCTGGGCTCCCTGTTTCCATCCGTTCAGCTCTCCTGCCGGCTGCGGTTTCCTTCTGGCCCAGTGCCACGCTGCCCTGTCAGTCTCCCGTGGCTGAGTGTCCTGAGGTGACTGTCCATTCCTAGGCCTGTCTGGTGGACTCTGGGAGGGGGTTCAGTTCTGTTTGAAGGGGTAAAGTCCATGTGAGTTGATGGACTGGAGCCGTGCTGGGGCAGAGCCCACTCTGTGGGCTTGGGGCAGGTGGGGGGTTTCTTAGAGAAGATGGTGGTCCCGAGTGGTTTTGAAGGATGAAGAGAGGTGGAAGGGGCGGTGGGCAGGTGGTCTTTCTAGGACTTAAAGAAATACATGGTGAAGGCTGGGGGTACGTGCTGGAGAGAGAGGTGAGGCCCACGGTGGGCACCCCTCACTGGCCTTACTCTGCAGGGCCTGCCCCAGCCCTTCCTGGCCCTGAGCGTGGATGGCAGCACCCCGCAGGCAGGGATGTCCTCAGCCTAGGCTCTCCGCCCTGTCATTACATCACCTGTTTTTCTCCGCTTGCCCTGCAGGATGGGCAAACAGGACCAGCTGGATTTGTGTTTGAGGAAGGGTGGGTGAGGGCCCCTGGCTGTGCCAGGTCACATCAGGGACTTCTCTTCCACCTGGGAGCACCAGGGGTTACACTCCCCTCCGGGCCCATGATTGAC